ATAGATGTTCAAGCTTGGAACACACAATATTCACAATTTATTGCCAGGTCACTTGGTAACAACTGTCTCTGTAGACAACATTGGCTCTAGCCTTCATAAGCAGACCTAGAGAAAAACTGTATTCAATTTGTTGGTTTTGGTTTGTTGGATTTTATTTCTCCTTGTACATTATCATGGTAAGATCTTGAAAATGCAAAACCCATGATAAATGTTTTCTCATATAACATTACTTACTGTTTTAAAGTTTCAACCATGAACATAGCTGTCTAGTCTGGTGTTTATTCCTGCCTGGCTAATCAGATTAGAACCTCCATAGATCTTGGAAAACTACTGGTAATCCGCAGTGGAGTATACTTTGACCAACATAATTTTGAATAATGAAGTGAGGACACACTTTTACCCAAATTTGATATTTCCATTTTGAATGGTTGGTGGCGATCATATTGCTTCTTAGTTTCTCACTGGCTTCGGAGGTGAGTGGTACCCAATGGAGATTTTCCCAACTATAACAGTCATAATGAAGACAAATAATTGTGTTGTGCTCCTGGGACCTTATGCACACTGGACGTTTTCCTAACTCTTCTAGAAGCCTTTCCTCCTGGCAGCAGCGTTTTGGCAGAAAATACACTTGATACTTGTAAAAAAGTATAACCCATTTAGGTGCATTTAGCCATGTCAAGCATTTGGGAATTAATTCATTTTATTAGCCAGAATAAAACATTTATTCTGACCATTGAAATGGATTAAGGCTCAAGTGCTAAACATGCCTAGCATTATTGCACATTTAGAAATGTTTAGACATGTTTAGAAGCGTCAAGCTTTTTTTTTTTTTTTTTTTTTTTTAATCCAAATAATCTTTATTCGAGATATGTGTGGAGGGTGTGGGGGGGTAGGTCCTCTGGCTGTAGGTTTCTCCGGCCTTGTCCACCTTGTAGCTGGAATAGTTCTGGCTGGGCGAGTTATTTCTCCAGTACTTAGGAGTAAAGAGGAAAGAGCTGTAGAAGACGCAAGAAGGGATAGGATGTGAACCGAGTAGTCAGCATGGAGTGTTGTGGGAAGGGAGTCAGTCAGGTGCCATTCGTGTCAGCTGGCACAGGTGGTGAGGAAAGGTCACCCATCAACTGATGGTTGGTGTCTGATTCCTGGAAGTGGAGTCAGCAGGCCCATGTTGCAAGCGATTGTTTCTTCCAAAACTTTCCTGGACGTAATGCTAGAGTTTTTTTTCCTGTCTCTGAACGCCTATGCCTCTAAACTCCTCTAAAAGTTTATGTATGCATGGACCCTTAGAGAGATTCTTGTTGTTGTAAAAAAAACATGTAGCAAGAGAGTGACACCATTCTTTCTTGCAGAGCAAGGTGAATATTGTGAGATCATACAAAGCTATATGAAAAGCTTTTTGGCCAATCGAATTGCCATGAACACTGTTACAGGGAAGGCTCTCCAACCCTCCCTTCCCCCCAAAAAAATTCCAGTAAAATATGTAATAAACTAATAATCTTCATAATTATCTCTGCATTTTCTAAATTGTATGCATCTGACATTAGTTTCTGATAGTATGATCCTTTCTGTAGAGAGTATCACTTAATTACATAATATGTGACATTTGCAAATTTGATTTGACTTTTTTAAAATTCTATTATATTGCATTTTGTCAAAAGATAACAAAATATGGTTAGATAGTCAAAAGATGTACAGTACATGAAAGGGTAGTACAGAAGATATTCAGGGTATGGACAGGTAAGCATATTGCAATGCAGTGTCGATGATTCATACTAACATTCCTTGTATACTAACAACATTGTCATAGAGAACAAACAAATATCAGTTGTTTCGGTTAAGGAATAAACTAGGTTTGAATTTTAGACTATTTAATGATTTCATTTATTAATTTGAGATCATAGTAAATACCTAATTTATGGTGTAATTTTAGGTATTTATGATATTTCTAGTCCATACCTAATTGAGACAATGTAAAGAGTGAAGTATAAGAAGTTGTGTAATTTGGTAAAAGAATTTGCATGAAATAATAGTTGGTAAGAGGGGAAAGCAAAGGGAAATTGAAGGGTGAAAAAAATAAATAAAAAGGAGACAAATAAAAGGGATATAGGAGGTTGGGGTCAGAATGTTCTACCTGGACTCAAGCAAGATGTTTTTACTCAGATATCAGGGCTTTGAATTCAGATGAATATCGAAATATGGACCAAGACGCCCATGTTTCATAACTTGTTCTGATTTCTCACTTTTTTGGATATCAGATGTTCCAGGTCTCTGATTGAATCCAGCTCTGATTCTGTCGGAAGTGATATTATAGTAGATTTCTAATATCATAGTATAACTGCTCTGGCAGTGGTAAGGAAGTGATGAAGAACATCCTACGTAACTGATTTGAGGGGGCCTGGAATGATCAAAAGTAAAACTATTTTCTGTGTTTTGGGGATCTGTGTTGCCATAATTTTACAATTAGTGTCAAAAATCTTTGTCCAGAATTCTCTGATCGGGGGCATTCCCACCGAAGGATACGAAAATGCAATTTAAATCTTCAGGGTACCTGCAACATCTGGTAACCATTTTTAAATTTTACTCTTGTGCTTTATTAGCTACAGATAATTTGGACGTTAATATAAAACATTCAGTTATCTGAGGTAATAGTTGTTTTGAGGTCACTTTTCCAGGCAGAGCTACAGTGTATGACAGGAGATTTGAATGTATCGAAGATGAGAGGATGGAGTATATATGATATACTGGAGGAAAATTTTGAAGAAAAGGTTCAAAGAAGGGTGATTGGGCTATTAATAAGTTATTGAATGAATAAATGGTAAAAGTTGATGCGTTATCAGCCAATAATGGTATCACTGGCTCAGTACTAGGGTTCAAGAATCTAAGGGTTGGGTCTGCTTGTATGGCTAATACTTCCCTGCGATGGGCCTCTTTGTTCCACATTCTGAATTTGTTCCTACAAAGCGCTGATGGAAAGGCGGGATTACTAAAAAGAGGTGTCATAGGGCCTATATAGTGAGATATCTTTAGCCAATGGTTGGCCCAAAACCAAATGAAAAGGGTTTGTTTAAATTCTAAGATGGGTTTAAGATCTTTATCTATGTAGGATTTAACCTTGACTGGGCCATAAGATCTATGGAAGCCAACATGGCTTCTTACAAGACCTAGAGTTTCATAGGTGGGTGGTGGAACCAATCTATAATCCTAGTAAGTACAACTGATTGCTAATAAAGGGCAATGTCTGGGGCACTAGCACCATCTTTTATTTTGGAAGGGACAGGATTCTATGGCTCAGTGACATGACTTTTTGTAATGCAATTTTTTAAAACTTAACATGGGTGCTGTTTTTAATGGCATAGAAGAAATATTCATTATACTATTGTAGCTCTATTGTAAATAAGAGGGGCACATTTTAGAAGACTATGACTCTGCAGTAACCCAATAGCTACAATATGATGTCCCATATTCAGTGACTTGGTGATAAAATGTCACAGGCGCATTCCTGTGAGGGTGAAGATGTGTCCTCATTTCTTAGGATGATGGGTTCACAGAATGCTTACATGTTTCCTCCTAAAACTCAGTCTCTGGTTTTCCTGCTTGTCTTTCTAGCTTTCAGGGTCCCATCATCCTTAGGCTATATTGGCTGTACACTGATTCTTTAAGTTGGCTTCCTGACATCTGTGGTTCTATTGTTATCCCAGACTTGTGGCTCAAGGCAGTTCTGCAATAGAGAGGTCCCTATGTAACTCTCCTACTCAAAAGTCTCCCAACACCTTCTTGTGGGGGGAACCTCTGCAGTCTGCTTCCTCTAGGTCTGTAACAAACCACATCAGCCAATGGGATTGGTTTACTAAAGACAAATAGGCCATCTACTTTGCAATTGAGGTTGCACTTTACAATGGACCTTAGTGAATGAAATTAAGATTTTATTTTTCTTGCATGTGATTAGGTAATCTTTGCAAGGTGAAACTTTTCCACATTCACTAAACTGAGGAACCAGTTTTCTTCACAAAGTGAACAATCTATTTCCCTCTAAATCAACCCCCCCCCCCCCCAATATTTTCTGAGCAGCCACCCAGGATGGGAGATATGCACAGAAGTCTATACACTTAGGCCCCAAGGCCTAAGAGCAGGAATGATGTTACAGCAACATCCTCTTAGGGTGAAACCCCGGACGAGAAAGCCACATGCAAGGATATACCTCAGATATTTTTATCTATCCTGGTATGCACAGCAGGCCCTCCATGTCTTCAGATTGGCCAGGTATTCAATATATTTAACATAGATTGTTACCTCTAGCAAACCCTACTGGAGAAAGCTCAGCATAACGTGTGACTGAGATAATATGCACAACACACAGCAAAGCTAACTAAAGCCCACTAACAGATCTCAAAATACAAAAAGAGAATTTGGAAAAAAACAACATCCCTACATTATCAACTTAAGATTCTTAAATGACTGGTACCAATCACTGGGGAATTCTGTGCCTTTAAAGGCAGTGGGTGCAGTGTAACAGAATGGGCCGATACTGTCCAGCTACACAGTTATTTAGGGAGGCTGCAATGGTGCTCTGATATTATTTCAAAGAAAATTATTAGTATCCTGTATCTCTAGAGGAATCACATTGATTAGATTGAGATGATTATGGCCTTGACCATGGGAATCCGCTGAAAAGAGATAAGATTATGTGAAGGGATAACATTTTTTTTGGACAGTAGTGAGGTTGTTAACCCGTTATATACTGTACATTGTATACACATACGTTATATCTATGTATATATGTCCTTTGATTTAAAGAAAGAAAGAATGTCATTTCATTTACTAAGACCTTAAGGATGTCCAATATCCATGGACAGATGTAGCGCACTATGTCTGTGCGTGTGTGATGTATGTTTTACCATTTTCACTGGGTCGTATTATTTAATTTATCTGACCTGATCAGATGTAATCATACTCTATGGAAAATGGAAATCAATTTAAAATGCATTTTTTTTTAATTCAAGGAAAATGAAAAATGAACTCCTGGAACTCAAAAAGAAGGGTGTCAAATTCAGCAGGGTGCGAGAGAACAATGCCAAAATTTGTGTGCGCTGTCAGAAGAAGCTGGGGTTCATCTTTGACCGCGGAGGCTTATGCGAAACCTGCCAGTTTCGTGTGTGCAAAGCATGTTGCATTGATGTAAAAGAACGGAAGTTATGGAAGTGTAAAGTGTGTGACAAATTTGCGTAAGTATAAATGGTAGGAAAATATTTCTGTTTCATACATTGGTGGGATAACAGTTATCTTACATATACTTCTACAAGCAAAATTCACAATTTTAAATGTACATTTACAACAAGCTAAACTAGAAATGAAAATGAAACAACCTAAAGCATACAATAAATAGATAAACACGTTGTGTTGCATTTTCTGTTATTCTGAAATCCCATTTAATTATGCAGAGATTTGATAAAGCACTTATTCTTGTATGTGGCACACAAAATTATATGAAGTTTATCTTCCTACATGCACATTTAATTTATTGAGATCAGAATAATTAAAAAATCGAATTAGTCTGTTTGAGAAACCTTTTCCAATCGTTAGGCGTTTAAGGCAGAGGCTTGAGTGAGACACAAAGCGGAGATTGTAGATATACCTTGTAGCTTTTTTGATTTTATATGTACATGAGAGCAGTCATGGTTAATCATTACATATTTAGGCTTTGTCTTCTGGATAATAATGTGGTTTGGTTATACAGACACATACAGATTTGTGTGACCTGTGAATGTGATAGGTACAGTTTGAAGGACAACTTCACTTAAGGTGGGATAGTTCTTTATGGAAACTCCTCACCACCTGAATATAGCTGGAATACTGAAAAACTTACCTTCTTTCCCATTTTACTGTGTGTCCCTGCCTCACGGAACTTAGCCTTTCAAGCAAAAGTTCCCTGGCAGGTACTTTTTCTTGTGCGCATGCTGTCAATGGCCCCATCCATTGCTTTGGATGGCCTTTACTCTACATGCCCACTAGGAAGATGACTTATTTTGGATGTGATACCTGCAAAGGCTGTGCAGTGCCAAGATTTTGTGAACGGGAAAAAGGTAAGTATTGCACCATACTGGAAATGCTTAGTAGGGTGGGGAGTTTATGTAAAGAACAACTTCACGAAAAAGTCGACATCTTTTTTACGGTGTTTAGCCATGAAGAGGTTAGGAGGAAGGAGGCTGATGAATAGATCAGTCCAAACCTCCTTTTGCCCAGCTTTAGATTATAGTGATTACTGAGGGTGAGTGGATTCAAGGGGTTCTGAAGTCTACTACCGGATGTTTTCTTCCCAGTACAACTTCTAATAACTTCTAATAAAGCCTTACGGGGTATCTACACAAGATGCCTACACTACCAAACTCTCACCTTTAGATGCGTCTCATAATCCCAGCAACTGCACCCTCTCATACTTATGCCCATAGCGTAAACTCCAAGTCTTGTGTGAAAATGTAACTCTTTTCCATCATGGATTAGTGCAGGGTTTGTAAACTGCAACTTCTAAAGCAATCAATATGCTCAGTTGACAAAGCTAAAACACCAGGATAAGGATACTTAAAAAGGCCGTCATATGGTTTGAAAATAGTAACGAGTAAAGAGTAACTATGGTTTGTGAATTGAGCTTTGTGAATTGAGCCTTTTGTTGATCAGTTTTACCCTTTTTTCATCTCTCATAAATAGAATCCAAGGTATTATACATAAATTCCCACAAAGGCATTGTGCCCCTATACAACCTACTCCCTTTAGTGTTCCTTCATGGCCAAGCCCCACATTCACACCCTTACATTTCAGAGTGAAGTGATATTTAATGAGCTGCAATTCACAATAGAAGGGAGCTTACAGGATATCAGTGGACATTGTACTTCCAGCCCAGTACAGAACCCCAAATACAAACAAGGCACTGCTGTTATATAATTCTATTTGTATTTCAGGTTAAGTGACTTTTTGTACCCCCGGGGTGAAAGAGGGAATAGCAGAAATTAGGAATCAAGATGCATGTGTACCTTTCTTTGTCCTCTTGCGTAGGCTGCTGATAAAGCATTCATGTTAGACAAGCGCACCATACAGTCGTTTTCGGTAACATACCTGACTTCCCACAAATAACATCGAACAAACTTTCACATTCTGCTTGTCAAACTGAGCAAGCCTGACAGCATATTTATGAATATTTATGAACTTGAAATTTCCATTCACTGTTTGCTTCAACCTTCCAGAGAATGGAAGGAGATTAAACTATTTACTTTCCACTGTTTTGTACTTGTTTGTGTGTTCCATTAATTGAAATGGGAAGGGCCAGACAGGTCATCTGAGAGTAACTGAGGACCTGAATGTACCAATGTTGTATATGTCACTGTCATCTAGCCCTGTGGCTGTACATGAGTCACAAAGAAAATACAACCAATCCCATAAAGGTTTTGCATAACCGAGCAAATGCATTTCAATATCCAATCTTTGTTATAAACATAATACTACAAATATACATATACAGCATATATTTTGTATACGGTAATGTGTTTTCTACCACCTCTGAAACTGGACTCTGAAAGCAGTGCTCAAAAAAGGCAGATGGAGTGCAAAGGACTATATTTATTATTATTCAGGATTTATATAATTACAACAGTTTGTGCAATGCTTTACATTATAAAAAAAAAAAACAGTTCAGTTATGATACAATCAATACAAGAGGGTTAGGAGAACGCTGCTCCTGAAAGCTTACAATCTAATAGGAAGGGGCAAGTGGAATAAAAGCTATTAACTGTGAGGGATGAGCTGATGAGAGAAAAAAAAGATTCAGTTGTTACCTGAAGGAAGGATAGGCTTCCCAGGAGAAATGAGTTTTCAGGGATCGCCTAAAAGTAAACAAGTTGGGGTAGAGTTCCAGAGGATGGAAGAGACTTTGGAGAAGTCCTGGAGGTGAGCATGGGAGGAGGAGACAAAGTAGCTAGAGAGGAGGTCTTGGGAGGAGCGGAGAGGACAGTTTGAGTGATACATTAAGACAAGATTGGTGATGTAAATTGGGGCAGAGTTGTGAATGGATTTGTATTTTGCTGTTTGTAGTCTGAATTTTATTTGTTGAGCAATCTGAAGCCAGCGGAAGGACTGACAGAGAGGGGTAGCGGACATAGCAGACACAGTGGTTTGCAATGTGGATGAGTCTGGCAGCAGCATTCAAGGTAGACCAGTAGCATTATTGCCTGTGAATTTCCTGCATCTGATCATTTTCCTGTTGCTGACTTACTTTGCCTTGTTCTGTACTGTGTCTCTGTATGAAGGCAGCCATCTTGGTAGAAGCAGAGCTTTGCTTCCTCATGTTAGAGCCCCTCCAAATCTTGGAGACCAGCAGAAGCAGTGGTGCTTTAGATCTCATACTGCAGATATTCAACTACTGTATGAGCCTGTAAGTAGAGGGGTACCTACACATTACTATTTTTCACTTTCAGTATGATAAAAGATTACTATAAATGCCTAATGAAACATTTTATGCCCCTTATTTATAAAATAGTGTTTGCTTTTTTTGGTATAAAAACATTGTAAATGTTCTTTTTAAAAAGCTTTTTTCAATGTTTAAGAAACCATGTAAAAAAAAAAGATAAGGTAAGTGTAAATAATAAAAAAAACCTTTATTTTATGTACATTTTGTAATTATAGCTATACATAGGCACAGCCATACTGTACTCGTTTTCACACTGGTAATGTAAAAAATAATGGATTCTCCAGTGATGTAAAACATTCACCTAGAGCCAACTTTGCCTGGGCTGTAGGTGACATTGTGGAGCTTACAGCACTCATTTTTTTCAGAAACTTTTTATCTAAAATTATAGCAATCAGTAAGATCTATTTGTTATTTCATATAAAGTATTTAACTTAAAGGATACGTTCACTTTTGGAAAAAAATAAAAAATAAATAATAATAAATGTACTTTTTTGCAGATAAAAAAAATGTGCACTTATTATTTTTTTTCCTAGGAGCCTGCAGACTATTGCACCCATGAACAGTAGATCACGGCTGCAATGTCAGGCTCCAGCAGATTCTCAGTAAAGTACAGGAGGTACAGGTAGACAGTTACTGAATTGCAGGAAGAGTCAGTGAACTATGAGAGCACAATATTTTCCCCTCAGAGCTCCTCTGGGAGGGGGGTGTTAGGGTGGGTGTTCCTTCTAGGGGGGTGCATTGTGGGTTTTGGAGGGGTTTGGTGGTACGTTGGGAGTGGTTGGTAGGGTGGGGGGTGGTAGGGATTAGGATCTTAGGGGTACAACATCGGGGTAGATTAGACCCAGTGGATGTTGGATTACATGTTGTATCTCCAATGGTATTTTTTATGTGATTGATGTACGTTAAACTTGGTTTGAGGTTAGCCTATTAGGTGTGCAGCATATTTTCTCTCCTTCTTTGTTTTTTTTTGCTATGAGAGCACTCACCAGTGCTTTCACAGTTTTTAAAATTGTGATAGTGGGTGCAGGGAGAGGATCCCCCGTCCCTTAAATATAGGTTATTAATATGTTACTAAAGTTTAACTTATCCTTTAATGATAAGGCCAAATCATGGTTTTATTGTATACTGTGTTCATACATCTGTGTTAGATTACATGTATAATAACGATTACTTTCACTTGATACCTGGACTTGCCCATTAAATGACTTTAATCCTGCAGTCTGAGGATGCCTCTTGGAGCTGTGGGCCTGTTGACTATAGAGCTTTACACTAACACACATTTGTTAGCTCTTAAGTGTATTTGCACGTTGAGCAAGGACTGCCAGTATACCATAATGCACATTTAATAGAGATGTCGCATTTTTTACTACACAGTGCACACATCACGCAGATAGTTTCTCATTTGTGCTTTTCAGTATGGTGCCTAGGTGACTGCTTGTGGTTTTCCAGCTCCTAGATTGCCGTAACATGTATCAAACACAGAGCCCTGCGATTGTCTACATCCCCCATGACTACATGGTTCTTTCACCATTTCATTTCACCATTCACCTGATTTGGATGTAAATACCCTCAAATTAAAGCTGACAGTCTGCAGTTAAAGCACATCTTGTTCATTTCATTTCAAATCCATTGTGGTGGTGTATAGAGCCAAAAATGGTAGAATTGTGTCGATGTCCCAATATTTATGGACCTGACTATACCTATGTCCACATTGTTCCCCCGCATGCCCTGTGTGGCTCAACTATACATTCATCCCAGTTGCAACTTATTGCTTCTGCACATTGAAAATTCAATGCATGTATCATGGCCAGATCTAGGGGGTGCTGGGGTGGGCTATGCCCCCCCAGATTTTAGTTGTGCCCCCCCAAAGCCAACCCTAACCTGCCACTATACTACCTTAACCCTGCCAATATACTACCCTAACCTGCCACTATGCTGCCCTAATCTGACACTATACCACCCTAATCAGATACTTTTCTGCCCTAGTCTGACACTGTACTGCCGTGGCCTGATACTATACTGACCTCAGTTATGCTTTATGTGAAGATGAAGAGCTCTGTTGCCTGTGCCCAGGCTGTGTGCAGTGCAGGAATGGGAGAAGGAGCTCTGCCCTGCCAGCACTGACCCTGTCTTCTGCCCTGCCAACCTCCCATCCTCTGCCCCCCTGACATTTTTTACTGCACCCCCACATCAAACAGGCTAGATCTGTCCCTGGCATGTACATAGCTTGGGGAACTCCACTCTTTAAGTCCGACACTGACTTCTTTTAGACTCAAAGCCCTCATGTTTAGGGCAGCAGATCTTGAGGTATGGGGTGACATAACCCAACAATTGACCAGGAGCTTACAACTCTTGCAGGACCATGCCCTGTTGTTGAGGATACTTCATACTGCATTTAGTAGAATGAAGAACAATTACCCCCCTCTCTTTTACTGTTACTGGCTCAGTAACAGGTAAAAATGATGTTGCCCTGCTGCAGAACTCATTTCAGTGACACTAGTAGATATCCACAACTCATTTCAGTGACACTGATAGATATCCAGACAGTTGGTATTTCTTTGACATGGTATCAGAGGTTGAAGTGTTCTAGCATGGATAGCTTAAAGTGTTACTAAACCCAGGAGCCTGCATTCACTATATCTGGTGTCCCACAGTACACTCAACATAGAAATGCAATTTTGTTTATTAGATATAAGCTGCTAAATACCTTTTCTCATCAGTAGTTACAGCAGTCTTGTTACTTCTATCAGTGTTGAGCTGAGCACCAGTTAAATATTGAAGGGGGGGGGTATTTCTGCTCTTGGAGGATGCAGAACCCCTGACCTCTGTCTCGACAGTGCTGAATGGCCCTGTGCTGATCACATGCACTCTCCCAAGAGAAAAAAAAAACACCTCTCTAGCAATACACACCAAACTGAGCATGTGCAGAGTTTCTCCATACCATATGTCTTATCAGGAGATAAGATGGGGACACTGGAAGAAGGGGAGGATCAGAGAAGTCAGGATCAAACAGCATTTTTACACAATGCAGAGGATTAACCACTTAGGTTCCACAGTGAGTATAACAAGCGTGGTTTACGGCATATATAGACTGATTTTACTGTTGTGGGGTTAGTAACACTTTAATATACATTTGTCTTATGTAAAAAAAAAATAATAATGGAAGTATTTTAACAAGAATGAGAAGAAAGGTATAAATAAAACAACTTCGGAATGAAAATTAAATGTGAGCATTTTATGCCAGAGTAATCTTTTCTTTATCTACAGGCAGATAAGGATAGCAACGGGTGACTGGTTTTTTGAAGAACGATCCAAGCGGTTTCAAAATTCCACTGTGCTGGGATGCGATGTGGTCAGGAAATCTATTATGAGAAAGACACCAGGTATTTCTACATTTGAATATTGTAGGATTTTAGTGAGAGCCCTGGGGACAGGGGAGCTGTTTCTTGATACTGATCGCTTTGTTATACTTTGCGCAGTTAACTCACTGCTTGCTGTAATGCCAATATAATTTACACGCTTCTTCAGTAAGGCAACATACACAAAGGACAGGAAACTATTGTAACCAGATTTCAACTGACCATAATAAGGCCATTTAACATAACAGTTTTACTTGTTGCTATGGAATCCACCATTTACACATTATGCTCATTGTGCTGACTTAGTAAGTACGTTTAGCAGTCTCGGTACATTTGTGCACTCTGTGGTCCCTAGGCTTGACACAATTACAGGGCTGTAGCCCAGATCTGGAGATACACTGATGCCTAGGCTAGGCTCCTAAACCAAACCTCTGATTACTCTTGGTGTGTCTGCAACAATAAATCATCATGGCTTAAGTCAAATATAAATTTAATACTGGCAATTATATTTTCTGTGCTGTTGTTCTTCAGGATGCCAAATGAATTAGAATCACATGAGATATCAGACAGTCAATAACAATGCAAGCTGTCACTGAATGCACTGGTGTCTTTTCCGATTAAAGAGTTCAGATTGGTGACTCACATTTTTCTATATCAAATGGCCAGTAGCAGTTACCACTATGATAGCATTGCTGTCAGAATTATTACATTATTTGCCAAAGCATTGACCTTTGAGCTTCACATTGCCTAGAGTATTTTTAAACAATGCTTAGTCATACATTGAAACTGATTTCTTTTCTTTTTTTTTTTGTGTGTGTGTGATTGTACAGTGCCCCCTAAAATAGAGGGAGAATCTGAACAGATCGGTAATGGTACAAAAGAAAATGCTTCAGCGCCTGCAACTTCTGAAACTGGCCAAGCTGCAGAGGGCAATGCAAAAAGGTAAGTGTCCCGTAACTAGGATCCTAGGAAAACTGGGGATCTCTTGCCATTATTTAGTATAGTATATATGATTACAACAATTACATCAGTTTTGTAATGTTATTGAAAAGTACCTTAAGTTAGGTACACACACTCAAGCTAGCAGACGTAAAAAAAACAAGCAAAAAAAACCAGTTTGCTGTACCAACAAAAGCGATGCTTGTGCGGCGATCTCCCTTACTGTGCTATTGGTTTATGGAAGGGGGACTCCTTGGCTGCAAGCGCTGATCAGATGCAGGTCGGATATTGGTTTTCCAGCATGCCCGTTCAACAGAAACCAGTCATGAGAATGGCTTCTGCAGCTGTACACATGGCCAAAAGTCAGCCAGTTCCTGCTGAACCAGCTGATTTTGGATGATTTTTGGCTCATGTGTGAAAGGCTTTACTCTTTCAACAACCAGATAATTTGCACTTGCCAAACGCCTTACCAAGTTCTGAATAACTGCCAAAGCTATTACCTAAGCCAAATGATGGTATCGTACTTCCCGTTTGGATACTCCAAAACAAAACAAGTTATAGTTCAGTTAAAATAACATATTCATCCAGTGTGGATGGAGGGAGGAAATATATTACTGCAGGGAAATCTCACCAATATTTTCTCAACAGATATAGCAAGCTGGTGGGTGATGAGTGTTTTGGGTGTAATTGGCCTTTCATTTTATTGATGCATACATCTTCTTTACCTGTTTATGTTCTGCAAACTGTTCCATTTTCCCTATGTAGCTGCAAAGTTACTCCTGTTGTTTTCCTCAGTGTTCATTGTAGGTTTAAAAATTAATATTTAAGTCTTTAGTTTTTCCTGCACAAATGAGGGTTTGGAGATGGATTGACATACAGTTGTGTTCAAAATAATAGCAGTCAGACATCACTAACCTGATCAATCACTGTTTTTGGTAGAAATGATATTTCTACATGGCAAATAATTTACTTACAGGGGTAGTAGAGTAATAGAAATCCAACAGACCCAACAGTCATGACATGCATGCTGCTGATTCTGTGTAATTGAATCACTAATTGAAAGGGGCATGTTCAAAATAATAGCAGTGTGGAGTTCTATTAGTGAGGTCATTCATTCTTTGAAAAACAGGTGGCAATTATTGCCCTTATTTAAGGAAGGAAGGCAGCAAATGTTGCACATGCTGGTTAAAGTGCATATCTCTCTGAAATTCTGAGGAAAATAAGTCGTTCCAGGCATTGTTCAGAAGAACAGCGTACCTTGATTAAAAAGATGATTGGAGAGGAGAAAACATATGAAAAAGTGCAGAAAATCATAGGCTGCTCAGCTAAAATGATTGCAAATGCTTTAAAATGGCAACCAAAACCTGAAAGACGTGGAAGAAAGTGAAAAACTACCATTTGAATGGATAGAATAGCCAAAATGGCAAGGACTCATCCAACAATCAGCTCCAGGAAGAGCAAAGAAGGTCTAAAGTTACCTGTGAGTACTGTTACAATTAGAAGACGCCTATGTGAAGCCAAGCTATCTGCAAGAAGCCCCCGCAAAGTCCCACTTTTGAAAAAAAGACGTGCTGAAGAGGTTACAATTTGCCAAAGAGCACATTGACTGGCCTAAAGAGAAATGGCGCAACATTTTGTGGACTGATGAAAGTAAGATTGTTCTTTTTGGGTCTAGTGGCCGGAGACAGTTTGTCAGACGACCCCCAAACACTGAATTCAAGCCACAGTACGCTGTGAAGACAGTGAAGCATGGTTGTGCAAGCATCATGATATGGGGATGTTTCTGATACTACGGTGTTGGGCCTATTTATCGCATACCAGGGATCATGGATCAGTTTGAATACATCAGAATACTTGAAGAGGTCATGCTGCCTTATGCTGAAGAGGAACTGCCCTTGAAATGGGTGTTCCAACAAGACAACGACCCCAAACACACCAGTAAATGTGCAACATCTTGGTTCCAGACCAACAAGATTGACGTTATGGAGTGGCCAGCCCAATCCCTGGATCTTAATCCAATAGAAAACTTGTGGGGTGGCATCAAAAATGCAGTTTGAGGCAAAACCAAGAAATAGAGAAGAACTGTGGAATGTAGTCCAATCATCCTGGGCTGGAATACCTGTTCACAGGTGCCAGAAGTTGGTTGACTCCATGCAACACAGATGTACAGTAGTTCTCAGAAACAGTGCTTATACAACTAAATATTAATTAAGTGATTCAAAGGAAAGCAAAATCTTCAAACATTTTTCAGTTTATATAGTGAATGTTTGAGTTTGTAAAGAAGAATACAAACACTGCTATTTTTTGAACAGTCTAATATTCACTTTTCTTCAATTTTGTTTAGAGGAAGAACACAAATTTGATATATTTTTCTTCATGTTTTGATTTGGAATAGAATGTGTAGTGTTCCCAATGCATTTGTGTGTATGGAAATAAAAGCTATTAGAAGGATTTTGAGCTTTATTCACTTTTTTCAACACACTGCTATTATTTTGAACACAACTGTATATCAAGTACCCTCAGGTTATGTTTTTAAAACCAATATAGTTCTGTATCTTAAAGAAGAGATCCAGGTAAAAAAAATAGACATTTAAAACCCTCTGGCATACAAGGAGTTAAGTGCAGGTAGGTATATGTCACCACCTGGATCTATTTTGAATCTCTGTTTAAATCTTACTGATTTAAGTATTGCTTTCCCTATACTGTGGTGCTCTGAGAGGGGGGATACAGCTCTCCTACACAGCAGCTGCCCTACCCACCTAGGGTTGCCACCTCATCCCTCTAAAACCGGACACATAATAATTACACAGGTTCTGTGGCTGATTAAGGTGGTAATCAACATCACTTAGTGCCTGCAATAAATTAGCCTCAGAACCTGTGTAATTAGTATGTGTTTGGTTTAAAGGGATGAGGTGGCAACCCCATTTATTCAGGGAAAGCTTTGGATTTTGTGCTAAGCATTCTGTGATTGGGCAAGGGGAGAGGGGTAGTCAGTGCAGCTGCAAGCAACCCCACAGCTGCTGAGTAGTACACCCGTAGCTGAGACGTCAGTGCACCTGAAGTATAGTGAACTGTAAATTGTAAAATTGTAAAAAAAGAGAGAGAGAGCACCAGGAGGCGGTATACATCCTGGTGCACTTAACTGTTTGTTTGCCGACAGATTTTAAAAACACATTATTTTTTCCAGGAGTTCTACTTTAACATTTAACTCTTAAAATGTAATGCTTTCAGGACCCCACTGGAAAGTTGTCCCATTATTTCCTGTTCACTGTTTGCTGAACAGAAATGCTGAAAACCAGGGCTTTTTTCTCAGATAATAGGTGCAGGAACTCCGTCCTTCTGAGTCACCTATGCCTCCGCCCCCTACCCACCTTCAAGTACTGTTCCTCGGTTCACCGAATTCCTATCTCCTAGAACTGCTCCTTTTAGAGAATACAGAACCAAGTATAATTTTTATACCGCTAGGTAATTTGTATGGAATTTGTTAATGATAACAAGAAAGGCAGTGAAATAAATCCCCTGTAGACAGCAACAAAAGACCCCCCAACCAGCAACAATAGATCTGCTCAGCAACAATAGAGTCACCCCAATAACAACAACCCTCGGCAGCAATAACATATCTCGCAGCAGCCAGCATCAATAAACCCCTCCCTTAACAGTAGATTTCTACCAGCAAAAAATTACCCCCCCCCGAAACATAAGCCCTCCTAGCAACAGTAGATCCACAGCCAGCAACAACGGAATCCCCCAGCAACAATAGATCTTCATGCAAATATAGATCCCCAGCAACAATAGATCCCTCAGCAGCCAGCATCAATAGACCCCCCAGCACCCCTTGCTATTAAATACATTCAATGCTGGAAATGCCAGAACTGCGTCCCCCCACATTCCCGTTGAAAAAAAGCCCTGCTGACAACCATAAAAACCTAACAGAGGACCTCACCTTTGCCCACTCTACTAAAAAAACTATTTTTCAGTCTGTATCCTTGTTGGGGAGATTTTTTTCACTTCCCTTTTCAGTGACCACCATCAATAGAAACCAGTGAAAAAACAGCTTTTGCCTCATTGTAAGTATCACTTTATGCCAAAAATTATATTTTGCTGCATCAACCTCTGCTGTAAAATGAGAGATCCTCTTTAACAAGAACCAGGAAACAGCATGACAGTTGGTATGTATAATTCACTCACCAGAAGAAAATCTTGTAAAGCACATTTTAACATGTAAACATATGGCACATACTGTGCACGATATGTGCTAAACTGCTAAATCCATTAGCATTTAAAGATATTTGCTAACAGGGCCTTTTTATGTGATATGTATTATACTGTATATGCTGTGACAAGGAACATTGCATTTTTTTAGCATCCCTGATAAAAAATCTGGAAAAGGTGAAGATATCAAAAGCCTCCGTTTCAGTGATGACATCCAAAGCCTCAGAAGTATCCGATCAATGCCTCGTTCTAATGGGTAAGATTTGAAACGGATGAAGATTTTATTATGCAACAACATACTCTAATATATACGTCACTAAAATCATAAATAATTTTCACCAGAAGAAAATGGATGGTGATAATTGTGTACACAGAAACTCTAGAAATTCCCATTAAAGATTTTACTTTAAAACTTTCTCTAACTTCCAAGAGCTTCTTTGGGTAGTAGTTCCACAGACCTTCCAAGTTCCTCCTTTATGAGCAAGGAAGTGGACACCTTTTTGGCCCAGAGTAAGTGGGCAAAGAATGATCCCAGTTGCAATATAATATTTGTAATTGTTGAAAATTGCATGTTAATTTATAGAGGTCTATACACCAGACCAAAATTAATTGTGTAGTAATATAGCCGGAAACTCGGTTACTTGTTATGCTGTAACAAGGAACATTGCATTTTTTTTAGCATCCCTGATAAAAAATCTGGAAAAGGTGAAGATACCAAAAGCCTCCGTTCCAATTATGACACCCAAAGCCTCAGAAGTATCCGATCAATGCCTCGTTCTCATGGGTGAGATTTAAAAACCGATGAAGATTTTATTATGCAACAACATACTCTAATATATACGTCACTAAAATCATAAATAGTTTTCACCAGAAGAAAATGGATGATGATGGTTGTGTACGCAGAAACTCAAGAAATGCCCAATAAAGATTTTACTTTAAAACTTTCTCTAACTTCCAAGAACTTCTTTGGGTAGTAGTTCCACAGACCTTCCAAGTTCCTCCTTTATGAGCAAGGAAGGGGACACCTTTTTAGCCCAGAGTAAGTGGGCAAAGAATGATCCCAGTTGCAATATAATATTTGTAATTGTTGAAAATTGCATGTTAATTTATAGAGGTCTATACACCAGACCAAAATTAATTATGTAGTAATATAGCCGGAAACTCGGTTACTTGTTATGCTGTAACAAGGAACATTGCATTTTTTTTAGCATCCTTGATAAAAAATCTGGAAAAGGTGAAGATACCAAAAGCCTCCGTTCCAATTATGACACCCAAAGCCTCAGAAGTATCCGATCAATGCCTCGTTCTCATGGGTGAGATTTAAAAACCGATGAAGATTTTATTATGCAACAACATACTCTAATATATACGTCACTAAAATCATAAATAGTTTTCACCAGAAGAAAATGGATGATGATGATTGTGCACACAGAAACTCAAGAAATGCCCAATAAAGATTTTACTTTAAAACTTTCTCTAACTTCCAAGAACTTCTTTGGGCAGTAGTTCCACAGACCTTCCAAGTTCCTCCTTTATGAGTAAGGAAAGGGACACCTTTTTAGCCCAGAGTAAGTGGGCAAAGAATGATCCCAGTTGCAATATAATATTTGTAATTGTTGAAAATTGCATGTTAATTTATAGAAGTCTATACACCAGACCAAAATGAATTGTGTAGTAATATAGCCGGCAACTCGGTTACTTGTTATGCTGTAACAAGGAACATTGCATTTTTTTTAGCATCCTTGATAAAAAAATCTGGAAAAGGTGAAGATACCAAAAGCCTCCGTTCCAATTCTGACACCCAAAGCCTCAGAAGTATCCTATCAATGCCTCGTTCTCATGGGTGAGATTTAAAAACTGATGAAGATTTTATTATGCAACAACATACTCTAATATATACTTCACTAAAATCATAAATAATTTTCACCAGAAGAAAATGGATGATGATGGTTGTGTACGCAGAAACTGAAGAAATGCCCAATAAAGATTTTACTTTTAAACTTTCTTTAACTTCCAAGAACTTATTTGGGCAGTAGTTTCACAGACCTTCCAAGTTCCCCCTTTATGAGTAAGGAAAGGGACACCTTTTAATCCCAGAGTAAGTGGGCAAAGGATGATCCCAGTTGCAATATAATATTTGTAACTGTTGAAATTGCATGTTAATTTATAGAAGTCTATACACCAGACCAAAATGAATTGTGTAGTAATATAGCCGGCAACTCGGATACTTGTTATGCTCTAACAAGGAACATTGCATTTTTTTTAGCATCCTTGATAAAAAAATCTGGAAAAGGTGAAGATACCAAAAGCCTCCGTTCCAATTCTGACACCCAAAGCCTCAGAAGTATCCTATCAATGCCTCGCTCTCATGGGTGAGATTTAAAAACTGATGAAGATTTTATTATGCAACAACATACTCTAATATATACTTCACTAAAATCATAAATAATTTTTTACCAGAAGAAAATGGATGGTGATGGTTGTGTACAGAGAAACTCTAGAAATGCCCAATACAGATTTTACTTTAAAACTTTCTCTAACTTCCAAAAACTTCTTTGGGCAGTAGTTCCACAGACCTTCCAAGTTCCTCCTTTATGAGTAAGGAAAGGGACACCTTTTTAGGCCAGAGTAAGTGGACAAAGGACGATCCCAGTTGCAATATAATATTTGTAATTGTTGACAAATGTATGTTAATTTATAGAGATCTATACACCAGACCATAATGAATTATGTAGTAATATAGCTGGCAACTCGGATACTTGTTATGCTGTAACAAGGAACATTGCATTTTTTTAGCATCCCTGAAAAACAATCTGGAAACGGTGAAGATACCAAAAGCCTCAGTTCCAATTATGACACCCAAAGCCTCAGAAGTATCCAATCAATGCCTCATTCTCATGGGTGAGATTTGAAAACTTATGAAGATTTTATTATGCAACAACATACTCTAATATATACTTCACTAAAATCATAAATAATTTTTTACCAGAAGAAAATGGATGGTGATGGTTGTGTACAGAGAAACTCTAGAAATGCCCAATACAGATTTTACTTTAAAACTTTCTCTAACTTCCAAAAACTTCTTTGGGCAGTAGTTCCACAGACCTTCCAAGTTCCTCCTTTATGAGTAAGGAAAGGGACACCTTTTTAGCCCAGAGTAAGTGGACAAAGGACGATCCCAGTTGCAATATAATATTTGTAATTGTTGACAAATGTATGTTAATTTATAGAGATCTATACACCAGACCATAATGAATTATGTAGTAATATAGCTGGCAACTCGGATACTTGTTATGCTGTAACAAGGAACATTGCATTTTTTTAGCATCCCTGAAAAACAATCTGGAAACGGTGAAGATACCAAAAGCCTCAGTTCCAATTATGACACCCAAAGCCTCAGAAGTATCCAATCAATGCCTCATTCTCATGGGTGAGATTTGAAAACTTATGAAGATTTTATTATGCAACAACATACTCTAATATATACTTCACTAAAATCATAAATAATTTTTTACCAGAAGAAAATGGATAGTGATGGTTGTGTGCAGAGAAACTCTAGAAATGCCCAATACAGATTTTACTTTAAAACTTTCTCTAACTTCCAAGAACTTCTTTGGGCAGTAGTTCCACAGACCTTCCAAGTTCCTCCTTTATGAGTAAGGAAAGGGACACCTTTTTAGCCCAGAGTAAGTGGGCAAAGGATGATCCCAGTTGCAATATAATATTTGTAATTGTTGAAAAATGTGTGTTAATTTATAGAGATCTATACACCAGACCATAATGAATTATGTAGTAATATAGCTGGCAACTCGGATACTTGTTATGCTGTAACAAGGAACATTGCATTTTTTTAGCATCCCTGAAAAACAATCTGGAAACGGTGAAGATACCAAAAGCCTCAGTTCCAATTATGACACCCAAAGCCTCAGAAGTATCCTATCAATGCCTCATTCTCATGGGTGAGATTTGAAAACTTATGAAGATTTTATTATGCAACAACATACTCTAATATATACTTCACTAAAATCATAAATAATTTTTTACCAGAAGAAAATGGATGGTGATGGTTGTGTGCAGAGAAAACTCTAGAAATGCCCATACAGATTTTACTTTAAAACTTTCTCTAACTTCCAAGAACTTCTTTGGGCAGTAGTTCCACAGACCTTCCAAGTTCCTCCTTTATGAGTAAGGAAAGGGACACCTTTTTAGCCCAGAGTAAGTGGGCAAAGGATGATCCCAGTTGCAATATAATATTTGTAATTGTTGAAAAATGTGTGTTTAATTTATAGAGATCTATACACCAGACCATAATGAATTATGTAGTAATATAGCTGGCAACTCGGATACTTGTTATGCTGTAACAAGGAACATTGCATTTTTTTAGCATCCCTGAAAAACAATCTGGAAACAGTGAAGATACCAAAAGCCTCAGTTCCAATTATGACACCCAAAGCCTCAGAAGTATCCTATCAATGCCTCATTCTCATGGGTGAGATTTGAAAACTGATGAAGATTTTATTATGCAACAACATACTCTAATATATACTTCACTAAAATCATAAATAATTTTTTTACCAGAAGAAAATGGATGGTGATGGTTGTGTACAGAGAAACTCTAGACATGCCCAATACAGATTTTACTTTAAAACCTTCTCTAACTTCCAAGAACTTCTTTGGGTAGTAGTTCCACAGACCTTCCAAGTTCCTCCTTTATGAGTAAGGAAAGGGACACCTTTTTAGCCCAGAGTAAGTGGGCAAAGGATGATCCCAGTTGCAATATAATATTTGTAATTGTTGAAAAATGTGTGTTTAATTTATAGAGATCTATACACCAGACCATAATGAATTATGTAGTAATATAGCTGGCAACTCGGTTACTTGTTATGCTGTAACAAGGAACATTGCATTTTTTTAGCATCCCTGAAAAACAATCTGGAAACGGTGAAGATACCAAAAGCCTCAGTTCCAATTATGACACCCAAAGCCTCAGAAGTATCATATCAATGCCTCATTCTCATGGGTGAGATTTGAAAACTTATGAAGATTTTATTATGCAACAACATACTCTAATATATACTTCACTAAAATCATAAATAATTTTTTTTACCAGAAGAAAATGGATGGTGATGGTTGTGTGCAGAGAAACTCTAGAAATGCCCAATAAAGATTTTACTGTAAAACTTTCTCTAACTTCCAAGAACTTCTTTGGGCAGTAGTTCCACAGACCTTCCAAGTTCCTCCTTTGTGAGTAAGGAA